AAAAAAAAAAAAAAAAAAAAAAAGATACCATATAGGAAACGTCATTCACTGTTCAAGGTAAAAGAAAAATGGCAACATGCCACTGGCATTGATCAGTGAGTTTTGTTGGTGGGTGACTAGCTAATGCTTGGAATGTCGTATTTTCTTGAATCAGGTCAAAGAAATTCTTAAGTGATCTTGTCTTTAGACTAGAAATCACTTAAAAAAATAAGACAAAAGGAACACAAGGACTCTCAGTCTCTCAATCCCTAGTCACTCCTTTTGTTCCTAGAATTTTTTGTGAATGGATAGGTTCCAATTTACAGAGTTTCTAGTGTTTTTTTGATTGGACCTCTTAAGTCATGTCCCTTTAGCACCCTTTCCTTGAGTGATGTCTCTTCATTTACACATTTTCCTTGAGTTATGTCCCTTCAGACACCCTCTCATTGAGTCATGTCCCTTGTAGATACCTAAATATCCCTTCGACAGCCTGCTAGTGCTCTGGAGGACCTAGATTGGCTTGAAAGTGACCAACCAATCCAAGTACATGGCAAATCGCATGCCTTATTAATTTCATCGCATACTTCCAACATACGGAATATTTTTCATTTGCTTTCTACCTTCATCATTCTTGGGGCAAGTGGGCTTGTTAAGATGTTGTCCTTCGCTTATAGGTATTGATAATTTCTCATCTTTATCCATCTTAAACCTTTAGATACCTTTTCTAGTCATGTAAAGCGATCTAGATACGATTAAGGATAGATACAAGGGTACAATACTTTAGTGAGAACAATTCTAGTAGAGGGTCTTCAATTTCTGATACCAAAGACTATATCAAGATTCTGCCTTGAGCCTTGTTTTGTTTTTGTTGTGATTATGGTTAGTTAACTAGACACATTCAAGATGAGATTGCATGGTATATGTTATTTGTTGATGACATAGTATCCAATTAATGAAACTTAAGAAGATACACTACGACAAAAATTTGGAGAGAAATTTTAAAATCAAAAGAATTTAAGATGAGTTCAAATAAAACTAAACATACAGAATGTAATTCAAGTTAAAATAGAAAGTCAAAGATCGAAGACTAAGAGATACTAAAGAGGAGACCCAATTGGAGATTATATACTCATAAAATTAAAGAGTGATGGATTAAGTGGAGAAATGTATCTGGTGTATTGTATGATTGACGTATGCCTCTCTAATTGAAAGGACAATTCTACAAAAAAAAAATACTAAACTAGCAACATTTTATGTCACTTCAATTTCACAATAGACATGAAACAACTAATAACCATCAAAATCATGGGAGTATAACTAAAATACCATAAAATAAAGGAAACATGAATAACCAAAATCACCTAACCAAAAAATCCCAAAAGAAACATAATTTAACCATTAAAGTTTACATCCCATGACCTTCAAACAAAATCAAATATCTCAATTTCACTAAATAGTATTCATAACATTATTCCATCATCAAACAGTTGAAAACTAAAATCTGATTAGTAAATCCCTAAGTCTCAAAAGTCGGATTCATATCTTGATCTACTTCGAAATCCAACTTCGCATGCTCACTTGGGGTTGTATTCTCTTCAATACCAAATCTAAACAATATTAGGGGAATGTGTGAGCAAATTAGTTTAGTAGAAAAAATTTCTCAAACCTAAATAAAGTTTAGAAATAAATAAAATAGGTAGGCCTTAAATTACAAAATATTATATGATCTTTGAAGTAAAATATGTAATATTAGAATGATCTCAAGTTTTGATGTATAAGCAGAAAATTAAGTAAAGAGTAGAATCATTTTCAAAGCAAAAGGTCATAACAAGGATATTTCATGTACGTAGTTTGGCTAGTTTGAATCTACGCACTGAGTATATCTTCTCCACAGAACTCCATTTTCTCAATCAAGCCCCGCAAGACCACAAAGTTTTAAGAAGCACATATACTAATGTATCAGTATTTCACGAAATCTTTATAAGAATAGTATGCTAACCCTTAACCTTGAAACTCATGAACGCATAGTGGTTTGAAACGTTTCAAGGATCCAACCCCAGTACAAGTGATAGGAAACCTTCAAACCCTCAAGGTAAGAAACACTTCTCAATACTGTGCGATATAAGTTTGAATGCAACCCAAGTTCATTAATCCTACCATTCAAGAGATGTAATTCACACTTTTCAATAAAATCCATGTATATAACTAGAACAATAGTTTCACAATTCATAAACATACAAAACTTCAATACAAACATGCATGGGGTCACTAAGAAACATTATCTATTTGATCATATTTAAGATCTAGGGTTTTTGAATAAAAATGTATAATTTGGATGTAAATCAGGTAATTTTCCAAAAAACATAATCATATAATTCAAAAGAATTCAAAACAATTATAGATCTATCATATATATTAGAATTAAAATTAAAATTTATATAGATTATAGTCCTAGTCTCAATGAAAATGAATGGGAAAGAAATTCTACTTTAATTCCGTAAATAATAGATCCTAACGTGTTTTATGTGATTTTTCATGCGTTGTTCCTTCAAGATGTAGCCCAATTTACTCAAATTTTCATCCTTTTCTTTTCTCCAAAACTCTCTTAGGCTTCTTTGGTTTGAAAAACAGGTAAAGATACCATAAACCTCGTTCATTGGGTATTCTTAGGGTTAAAAGTGATCAAAACGGCAAATCCTGATTAGAGACAAAATCTTGTTTGCGTTCGAACGGAAATTTTTTATTCAAACGGCTTTTACTCCCAGTATCTCCCTTTCACCCTAATCAGGATTTTGAGATCAGACTTGCGTTTGTACGCATCCAAGTTTTTGTCCAAATTTTCAGTCTTGTTTTGACTTAATTTAAGGCTAATTTGCGAAATTTTTATGAAATATACTTTTGTAAATCTTAAAGTCTAATTTTTATGGCACAAGAATCAGCTCAATCGGACATTTGAGTAAATGTTATGGAGGTAGTGTTAAATTCCGTTTTATCCAAATTCTCCCCAAAACATGTTTAAGTCTCAGAATACCTCCAAACTCTTAATACATCTTATATCACATATCTCAAGCTTTTTTGATCTTCTGGATCAATGATAGCATTATTTTGACTTAAAAATATTTAGAATTTCAGTTACTTCATTTCTCCCAAGAGTGATTACGCTAAAC